TGCCGAGCTCAGGAGCTCAGACTCATCCCAAGAACAATGGGAAGAAGGCACTGCGGGGCTTGAGTGGGGGAGAGCAGGGAAAGGAGAAGGAAGGACCCCAGTTAAGATGCCCTGTTTCCACAGGTGTCCTTAGTGGGGATAGAGAGAAAGGGGAGCTTTGAGAAGCCTTGAACACCTCAGTGGATACATGTTCATCATTTTTTTCTTCAAATTCACATAGTCTGTGAGAGGTAGATCCACACTGCCCTCATTTTTCCTTGCCTTAGTTTACCCAGGCCAGGTGAGAAAAGTCTGCACTCAAACAAACAGAGCTTTGATGTTTACATAGGAGTTAAGGGAGTCATTAACTTGTTGGATGGACTGGGATTGGGCTCCCATAATATCTGAATTCACATACACTAGTGCTCCGTGTGTGTGCACGTGTGTGTCTGTGTATGTGTGTGTAGGGAGGTGTTTGATGTATTGGTGCCCCAAACTGGAGGCGATGCCTATTGAAAACCGATAAGAGGTATTTTTTAAATTTTTTTAACTTTTTATTTTGTTTTTTTAAAAATTCATTTTATTTATTTATTTTTGGCTGCGTTGGGTCTTTGTTGCTGTGCGTGGGCTTCTCATTGCGGTGGCTTCTCTTGTTGCGGAGCACGGGCTCTAGGCGCGCGGGCTTCAGTAGTTGTGGCACACGGGCTCAGTAGTTGTGGCGCACGGGCTCTAGAGCACAGGCTCAGTAGTTGTGGCGCATGGACCTAGTTGCTCTGCGGCATGTGGGATCTTCCGGATCAGGGCTTGAACCCGTGTCCCCTGCATTGGAAGGCGGATTCTTAACCAATGCACCACCAGGGAAGTCCGACAAGAGGTATTTTTGAACACAATGTTATTACTATTAATCGGATGCTGTTTCCACACTTGCGTTCTGTAACTTTTTCCGGGAGGTTTCTTCATCTGCTTCGATGACATGCAAAGACATAAAGAGGCCAAACGCTGGTTTCTGTGGTTTGAGTCTCCCAAGTGCTTCAGGGAGACTTCACCGGATGCATTAAATAAGGTCCACGTTTGGGAGGCAAATGTTAAGTCCTAGTCCTTCAGAGGTCAGGGTTCAGAGTGGGAAATGCTGCCTCACAAATATTACAGAGAGATAAGTTATTTTTTGCCAAGTGCTTATGCAAATTCCATATTAACTCGACTGAGCACTAGAAAGAAATGTACAGAACAGTCTCTTGAATTAGGAAAATATGCAGGTATAAGGCTTTGCCCTGCTTGACTTGGCACGCAGGCTTCCAGAAGACGGGTTGGTGTTCTGCATTGAGATTTCCAGAGCAGAGGACTCCTTCTCATGGTAATGAGCCTTGAAACTAGGCGGTGACCCACTGGCATTTTGCACCTGTCCTCTTCTCCTTCTGGATTCTTGTCACCGTGACCATCATTGACATAATCGTCACTGTAGTATGGTCCTTGGTGTGTTAAGAAAACACTTCAAACACACAATGGGAATTCTAACAGGGATCAAAAAGGATGAGATGATTTGTGTCTCCTGGGAAGTTGTTGCACCGGATTACAAAATGCTCCGGTCAAAGGGTCCCTTCCAGGGGTGAGCAACTGTCGCATGCGGTAGCCATAGGAATGAATGAGGGAGGGGGGTTCTGTGGAAACACGGGATGCAAATCTGCCCACTGTCTGTGAAGCTGAAGCTCCTGACCGGCCACACTGCCTTGTCTCCAGGCGACAGAGCTGGAGAGCGGAATCCCAGCCCGCCCCGAGGCAGATGCTGGGTTCTGTACAGCAGAGTCCTGAGTCTCCTGAAAGAAATGGAACGATGAAATACCAATCTGATCTCGTCACCCTGAAGCCTCAGCCCAGCCCCACTTAAAACTCTTTGGGGTTCCCAGTTGCGTTTGCACAGAGTCCAAACTTCACCTGCTCTAGGAACCCTGCCTGACCTGGCTCCAGGCAGTTCAAACTCAAAGGCTCATTTCTCGGCTTTTGCTTCAGCGGTTCTCTTGGAACCCACACGCCCCGCCATCGGCACCATGAACTATTTCTTTTCCTTTAAGTCAGATCTTCGATGCTCCCACAGTGCCCTGTGCTCCCCTCTCTAACTGCCTCTATCATCTGACTGCTTGTTGTCTGTTTCCTCCCCACAGGGCACCCTGGACATCCTTTGTTCGCTGAGAACAGGGCCAGGTGAACACAGCCATCCTCTCCTTTCTATGGCCACTGTTGCCTCTGCCACATACATAGCCTGAATCCAGACACTTCTCTTCAGCCCCAGGCTCCCAGCTTCTCCGCCAAGATGATGCCAGTAGCCACTCCTGTGAACCACTTTCCCTGCCCCTCACTTTCCCTGTCTTTCTGCTGCTTAATGCTTACAACCCTTCAGTGGCTTCCCTCTGTTCTCAGGATCAAAGCTCTGCTCATTAGCATGGCATTCAAGGCTCTGCCTGACCTTGCCTTACTAGAAGATCCAAGAAAGGAGAGAATAGGAACATTGTGGAGAGGAGGAGGGGACCGAGGGATAATTCGCTTACAACTCAAAAAATATGAGAGGGAACATTGTTTTAGAATCCATTTTCAGGGCTTCTGTTTACACATGGGGTGTGTTCCAAAAAATCCCCATGTATCAGGGCCCTGGATGGGCTAAATACTGCTGGCATAGCCAGGCCTTCGCGGACTTGTGAATATCACTGGTGAGTAGATTTCTTTATTTTAAATTTGGCGACGGGCAGGGTTGCCAACGTTTTATTTTGCAAAGCAGGCACATTGAACAAAACACTGCCATCTTTTCGTGAAATAAAGGACTTCTGTGTACCCAGAAAAGTCCATGATTTCAGGATAAAGGTCAGCACTCTCGCTTTATGGGGGGGAATTACCGCAACAGTCTCACTTTCTTGTATTGCCCGAGACTGGTAAAGACTCGCCCCTGCTATCAGGCATTTGGGGAACTGTTGTAGCCCCTGGTGCACCGGCTCCCGCAGCTGGCTGTCTGCATTCCAGTGCGTCGCAGGGAGGCTATGTCTCTTTTTTTTTTTTACATCTTTATTGGAGTCTAATTGCTTTACACTGGTGTGCTAGCTTCTGCTTTATAATAAAGTGAATCAGTTATACATATACATATGCTCCCATATCTCTTCCCTGTTACGTCTCCCTCCCCCC